TCACCCACATTAAGAGGGCCTAGTTCAGGCCCATGCAAGCTCCCCAGCTGTCAGTCCAGAGTCTGGGAGCTCCCAGCAGTTCAGGTCAACTGGCTCTGTGGGTTTCCCCATCAGCATCATGATACCACCCTCTTGCTCATAAGATCCCTCCTCCCTCTCTTCACCTGGACTCCAGGAGCTTGACCTAGGGCTTGGCTGTGGATCTCTGCATTTGCTCCCATCAGTTACTGGATGAAGGTTCTATGATGACAATTACCATAGTCATCAATCTGATTATAGGAGAAGGCTGATTCAGGAACCCTCTCCACTATTGCTAGGAGTCTCAGCTGGATGCTCAATCATGCCACAAGGACATTTGCTCAACTGGGTTCATAGTGGCATTATTCATAATAGCCAGAACCTGGAAACAACCTAGATGCCCCTCAACCAAAGAATGGATAAAGAAAATGTGGTATATTTGCACAATAGAGTACTACTCAGCAGTTAAAATACAATGACATCACGAAATTTGCAGGCAAATGGAAGGAACTAGAAAAAAAACATATTGAATGAGGTAAACCAGATCCAAAAAGACAAACATGGTATGTATTCACTCATAAGGGGATATTAGATGTAAAACAAAGAATAACCAGGCTGCAATCCACAGCCTCAGAGAAGCTAGGTAACAAGGAGGACCCTAAGGGGGACAGGCATGGATCTCCCTGGGAAGGGGAAATAGATGAAATCTCCGGGGTTAACTGGGGACGGAGGAGTGGAGGAAATGGGGGACGGTTGAGTTGGGGGAGGGGCGGAGAGGAAGAGACATGAAAGCAATATCTTGATAGAGCAGATCATTATGGGGTTAGGGAGAAACCTGGTGCTAGGGCCTTACATTTAAAGTATGGTTTGTGGAATGTCTGTCTTTCTATGATGAGAGACAAGGCTTCCCCTTTTTATGAATTTTGGCATTCAGTTTTCAAAATTGTACTTGGTAGTTCCTCTTTGTTTTTGTTTTAAAATAGAGTTGGGCAAGGGGCGGGGAGGCTAGAAGAAACAACAGCAGCAAGCAAGCAGAGAGCACTACTCTGATTACGCTTCCTTATGGAGCTCGTTCAAGTGTGTTTCGTCCCGGTGCCAAACAACACTCGCTCAGATTGCAGCAATTTCTGGTGCCCTTGCCAATGTTTGGGTTATTTTTAACTTTAAAGATGGAACAGATTGCTCTAAATTAAATAATTTAATCTAATGTTTCAAAGAGTCCCAGTACTTGCGACTTTCACTTCTGGCTTCTCTGGGATGGAGCTCTGTCCATCACAGCCAGCCCTTGCTTTGGTACCTCACTCCACGTGGAGGGTGTTTTCTCGCTTTGTTTTTCTTTTCCTTTTTTCAGCTGGGAGTCTGTTTTGCACTACCTGGTCCCAAATGTTATTGGGCGGGTCATAGTCTATCAGTGAAGCAATAGCTCATCTTTTCCTAGAAAGGAGGGAATCGTGTTCTTAGCAGCTCAATTCCTGATCTTGGGGGAGGAGAATTGAAGGGATGCTGAACTGTCTCTGGGGTGAGAAGCTAAGCCACCTGTTGCAAGAATCCACTCTTCCCAGGCGGATACAAGAAGAAATGTATGTTCGCGTGCGTGTGTGCGTGCGTGCGTGCGTGTGTGTGTGTGTGTGTGTGTGTGTGCTGCTCACACAAAAGCCAGAGATCAGCGGTCAGAGGATAACTTGAGAGAATCAGTTCTTTCCTTCCATTGTGTAGGTCTGGGAATCGAACTCAGGTTGTCAAGTTTGGTGGCAAGCTCTTTTACCCTCTCACCAGCCCCCTCAATGTAACTTAAAACAGAGTGATTGGAAAGGCCTAGCTTCCTGCAGAGCGATCCCACCCTCAATCAGCTAGTGGATGTCTGCTTTATTTTTTTGAGACAGGGTCTCATTACACCTCTTTGGCTGGTCTGGAACCTGGGTTGGTGGCTCTTTTGTTTGTCCTTGTGGCTTCATCTATGAAAAAGAAGTCTCCGTAGTGGCAACGGAAAAGAACAAGTTGTGGTACTTTCTCTCTTTCCTAAGTGAGGGTGAAAAGTTCCTGCAGTCGGATTGAGCAAAGATTTAAAACAAAGAATGAAGTGACCACATGCCTCCTCCTGCCTGCAGGCCGCCATTGTGAGGTCCACCAGATGATCGGGAACTACATGTGGGACCCCAGGACCAACAAGTCATTCGACATTGGGGTCAACCGAGACAGTCTGATGCCGCTCTGGTGGAACGGGTCAGAACCATTGTGGATCACGCTGATGAAGGCCAGGAGGAAGGTCTACATGTATTATTGGCCAGGTGAGTGTGCTGGCCTCCAGGCCCCTCTCCTCTCCCAAACCTCAAGCACCTGTGGAGTCTGCCCAGGAGAACAAGGCAGAGTCCTTCAAAGACAGACCACGCCCTGGTTGAAAGGAGGGAGTTTTACTTAAGAACTATGTTCTAGGGGCACATTAAAATTTTTAAAATTAGCTTACATTTTTCTGAAAGGTATACATTTCATATTGAATGAATTCCTTCCCCAATCCCTCCCTGCTTCATTACCCCCTCCCGACCCATTTACCCCTCCTCTCTCACACTAATCCCCTTTGTTCACCTAGTTTCACTCCTACTTTTATTTACTGTATACACACGTGATTTTATGTGACTATAGAAGCCAGGGACCACAAAGGAGAGAAAGCACATGGTCTTTGTCTCTCTGAGGCTGGCTTACTGTGCTTAGTATGTTGACTCCAGTTGCATCCATTTGACCGGAGAGGACAGAAAAGCCAGCCTGAGTATAATTTCTGCCATTGCTGCATGCCGAGGCTGTGCAACCTAGCTAGACTGGTTCTCTAAGTCAGCTGCTGTGAATCATGCTGCAGGGAACCGGCGTGCAAGAGTTTCTGCAGTAAGACTTAGAAGCCTTTGAGTGACCACTCAGCGAAGCAGCGAAGTCATGCGGCAGCTCTGGTCCGAGCTTGTGGAGAGGCCCCCATACTTACTTCCGTGGGGGGGGGGGCTGGACTAGCTTACATCCCACCAACAGGGCACAAGGGTTCCCTTCTATCTCCATCCGCGCTAGCTTTGCTGTTGTTGTTTTTTCAGCAACCGCTATTCTGACTAGCATATGATGGAATCTGTGGATTTTTTTATTTATATTTCTAAGATAGCCAATGAGGCCGATTTTTTTCATGTATTTGTGCTTCTTCTTTGATGATCTGCCCATTTCACAACCCCGTTTATTAGCTGGCTTGCTTACTTTCTTGTTGCTTTATTTGTTTGAATGCTTTATATATTCTGGGTAGTAATCCTCTACCAGCTGCGTACCTGGCAAAGCTTTCCTCCGGGCAGGCCTTAAAGACCCCGTTCCTGAGCTCTGAGACACGAGCAGCTACAGAGCTGTTTCCTGTTCCCCTGGCTCCGGGGCTGCGCACTCGAATTCCATGCGCAGCATTTTCAGTAGAGAAGAGAAATCATGTTTGGTTTGCTCATTGACTTTTACAAAGGAGGGGAGTACCTTTCTATACACTTTTCAGAAGGAATGTTTTGATTTATTCTTTGAGAATTTCATCCGATAGATTTTGAATTTCTAGGCCCTTTCAACTTCCCTCACAGCACTGGGAATGATAAACACGGCCCACACAACTGCTTGGTAATGAGTTACAGGACACCTCTCACTGTGGACTCCTTTGTACACCTAGATAACTGGGAAGCAAAACTCTTTTATTGTAATAAAGTTCAGTAATGCTACAACCTGTCTTGGCTCCTGTGAAAGCCAGTGGATACTGTCATCTTGTCCATTGGATATCTTTCATTAAGAATGAGGAGATTTGGCTGGGCAGTTGTAGCGCACGCCTTTAATTCCAACATTCAGGAGCCAGAGGCAGGCGGATCTCTGTGAGTTCAAGGCCAGCCTGGTCTACAAGAGCTAGATCCACAACAGGTTCCAAAACTACAGAGAAACCCTGTCTCAAATAACCAAAAAAACTAAAAACAAAAACAAAAAAGAATGAGGAGATTTAGGAGGAGCCAAAGGCATTTGCCACCAAACTGGAAGACCTGAATTTAGTCTTCAGAATCCCCATGTTGAAAAGAGAGAACAGACTCCAGTAAGTTTTCTATACACACACACACACACACACACACACACACACACACACACACACACACTAAATACAGGTAGAACTGTGAGGGAATTCAATACTGACAAATGATCACTTTGCCACTGTGGGTTCCTTCTTTCATCAGGTGATGTGCAATTTGTCTTTTCTGAGCACATGGCTGTGGCTCTTTCCTCCAATGTGATAATACTGATACTTACCCTTGTGGAGCCAGCTATTGGTAAAAGCCTAAAAGAAACGGAGGAATAAATGAACAGTAGCCTGGTGGGAGGCAGAGAAAAACAACAGAGATCTCACAGGCTTGGGCTTCGGGAAGAGAGGGCAGGAACAGCTGAGGGAATTGTGAAAGCCCAGGGGCTTATGGGAGAGGGTGGCTGACAGGTGTGGGAGAGAGCGGAGGGAAGGATGAGCCACCCAAAGCTGAGCCGCAGATGGCCTGCACTGAGGGTGTGGGTTTCTACAGGAGTTGGGAGAATGCTGTCTGGAGGCGGCCATGTGGAGAGATGCTCAGGGTTCTCTGCAGATCTCAAAGGATTGCAGGACATAGACAGATGGAGCCTGTGGAAGGCAGCCCCACTGCCAATCTGTGCAGGAACCTTGTCACAAAGCAGGGACAAGCATCCACAGGTAGGCTCGCAAAGGCCAGCACGTACAGTGCTAAGTCCAACTTAGCCAGAAGAGCTAACCGGCTTATTTCACCAACAGGAATAAGTTCAGAGTGGTACAAGGGATTTTGGGCATCAACCATCAGTCACCTAGACTGGTGAGAGGCTTTGGGTCGGGGGAGGAGAATCAGTTGTTTGACACCACAGTGATCAAATATATCTGACAGAAATTCCTTAAGAGAACAAGGGTTTATTTATTTTTCACTTCTGATTTTAAAGATTGATGTCTACAGTCACATGGCATCGTGCACTTGAATATAATACTGTGGTTCATGGAGCCTGTGACAGAGAGCAACCATTCACATCACAGTGGATCAGGGACAGACAGCAAGACTGGACCCCGAGACCAGACTGTAACTGTCAAAGGCCTACTCTTAGTGACCTACTACTGTCGGCTAGGTCCTATCTCCTAAGGGTTCCTCAGCATCCCCAAATAGTGCCTTGGGAACAAGCATTAAAAGCATGGATCTACGGGAACCATTTATGGCTCAACCCATAACACACAAGTTTAGGGGTTATGCCTTTATCTGAATTAGAGACCCAACTGGGGTCATGAAGTTGGATGCTAGACTAAGGATGTACAGGCCAATCTAGACTCGTGTCAGAGTCCAGTTCAGATTTAAGCCTGCAATGGCAAGGTCTGTAACAAAAAGAAGACTTAGCTGCACATTGAGAATACTTTTAGAAACATTACCATCAATGAATGCAAAAGATTGCCTGCGCAGGCACAGGAGGGTATGACAGCTGACTGGTCACTGGACTAAGGACCACCAAGATGAATACTGACACAGTACAGCGTAGCCACCTTTCATGGTATTTTAAGCTTTTGGAAAGCACCATCTGTATAGTTGGCATCCCCCCCACACACCAACATCCACGTGCCTTGTTTGCACCCAGATCTGTCAAGGGTGTTAGGGATCGCCATAGAAGCCAGTGTTAGGGCAAGGCGGGAGGAAATCCGAAGAGGAGCAGTGTTTATATTTCAAAGCTCCTACTGTGGTCTTACACGCAACTGTTTTTGCTTCATCCAGGAGAATCTTAATTTATGTAGAATCACTGAATATGTGATGAATCTCAAAGACAATATCCCTGCACAATATCTTATCGCTCCTCCAGAGCAGCTCTCTATGGCTAAGAAGGAGCCATCACCCCTTCCTTACAAGCCATAGTTCAGCAGTTAATAGACATAGTAAAACTGCCTGGTTAGCAGTTACAGAGCTAACAATGAGAAGAGAAGAGGCTAAAACGAGGCTTCCTCGGTAACCTACATGGACGTTAGCCAAAGATCTGGATTGACGTCTTCACAATAATTAGATGGAAAGTATGTTGTTTCTTACTCTGTCTAGTCCTTGTTGAGGTTTTTCTGAGTGTAGGCTGCCCAGCCCAGGCTGCAATGCCCCAGTTCCTTTCATTTCTGCCAAAAAGCGCCGAGGGAGTCACGGTCACTGTTGTCCATTCTCTCGTCCCTGGTGCCTTCCAGCATCAGAGAATGACCTAACAAGTGCTCATTTGTCTCTGCAAGATGAAGTGAAGTGCCATGTGTGTCTCCTAAACACGCCTGGATTTTATTTGTCTTCTTGTGTCTTCTGTTTCCTTTTCCACTCCTGATGGGACATTGCACAGACTTCTCGGTGAGGCCTGGACAATCTTCGTTGCTTCAGCGAGCTGTGTTATGACACTTTGAGTCTTGCCTGTAAGTCAATATTTAGAAGCATAACTTAAAAATGGCAGTAGTTCAAGTCTTTCTGTCAGGTATATAAAGCAACAGGGTGAAAAACTTGAGCAAAGGGAACGAGTCCTCCCTCCGTCAGCCCAAGTCTTAAGATATTTAAGATTTGTCTACAGAGCCTTCAAAGTCCTGCCCACTGGTCCCATTGAGCTCCACAGAGGAAAGATGCTCAGGAAATAGCTCCAGGCTGAAATAAGCCAGGCACCGGGATCCCCTGGTGCTTTCAAAGGGGTTATAATGAATTACATGTTGATCACAAACTTTACTTTTTGATTTCAAGGAAATTTTGTTTTGAAGGAGCAAAAAAATCTTCCGTTGATAAAAGGTGTGGGTGGCTGTCTCGAGGAAGAAGTCAGGGAATTGGGTCAGGTGATTAGATTGTATACGGGAAGAATATTCGAGCTCCACGTATCATCAGCCGGTCTCACACGGTGGCAGCAGATTGTAAGTTTATTCTTTAGTTAACCAGTACGTGTTGGCATTCCAGTTCTGTGTTCTTTTGCTATGGATTTTGCTGCTAATTTTCAACAGCCTGCTGTCAGGAAGACTTGAACAAAACCACCCATTTACCTTAGGATGATGTTGGGTGTACCTTGGCTCAATGCCACTGCCTCTTCCTGTTCCGTGCAGGTATTTAGACCAATAAGCTAAATACACACATGGCTACCAGCCTTCTCTCCCTCCTTTTCTAGATAAAGGCTGTAGGTAGCTATCTACTCAGCTCATATCCAGTTTAGACAGTTATAACCATAGTGATTTCATTTGAATAAGTAAAAAGAACATACCAGAAATTGGCCAAGAGTTATGGATCATTTACAGGACCTTCCTGTATCTGGCCATGGTGTGACCTTGACATCCTTCTGTCAAGTTGACCTTCGATGCCTATCACTTGGGCGCAGGTAAAATTAGAAGCATCCATCACAAAAAAAAAAAAATGTGAGCCAACATTATAACTCCATCACTTCCTGTGTGCGCATGATGCCAAACATCTAGATAAAGATTACAATTATTTTTTCAGCCAGATATTTGTTGTGCAAATAAAACAATCTGCATCATCATTAAACTTCCCAATACTGTCACCAGCTTGGCATTAGCTTATACATATGTTATATTTTATGTGTATAAGGACATATGTTATATTGTAGAATCTGTATATTCTCTATGTTATATCTATTCTACATGATATTTATATTAGATATTAACTCTCCATGTAGAACAGAGGAACACTTGGGGCTCTTTCAGGGCTCATGTGGTAAGGTTAACGGCAAGACAGATATGGCCGCACTATATTTGTACAGCATAAAAAAATAAATAAGGTCAAGCTGGATGATTGTGGCACACGCCTTTAATCCCAGCACTCGAGAGGCATGAGGATCTCTCTGAGTTCAAGGCCAGCTTGGTCTACAAGAACTAGTTCCAGGACAGCCTCCAAAGCTACAGAGAAACCCTGTTTCGAAAAAACAAACAAAAAGAAAAAACAAAACAAGAGTAAGTAAGGTCACAACTGCTCGTCTAATCAAGGCATAAGTTGGTATGAAACTAGAAATGCTCAGGCTTTCAAGAATCTTATATGTCATATAAAGAGATTTTGGACTCACGGAACAGTAACAACACTATCAATAGCAGAAACAAGGCCCCGAGTCTTGGCAGTTCAATCAATAATCAATTAGAAATTTCCTTTTCTTTCTTCCTTCCTTCCTTCCTTCCTTCCTTCCTTCCTTCCTTCCTTTCTTTCTTTCTCTCTTTCTTTCTTCCTTTCTTTTTCTTTTATCCACAAATGGGATGTCTGCTCCCAGTCTGTTCTCTTCAGCATGGAGGCACTGATGCAGGCCTCACCCAGGCTCCTCCCTTCTGGTCCCTTCACCGTCACCCACACAGGACTTTCAAGCTCACACTTAGGAATGAGCACAAGCATCCCATGTGGAAGTTTCTGTGACTGGGACTCGATTTGTTTCATTTCTGCTCTTGTCCAGTTGGCTAGAACTCTATCACGTGGCCACATCAACTTCCAGGAAGCTGAGAAATCTGTTTGTCCAGGTCAAAGAGGACACATGTATGGCAAGGGGCTCACAGTCTTGGAAATCATAGGGAGTTTACTGGAATGTGTTACCATGTACATATGTATAATATGTAAATCAATTATCAAATGTTACAAAGAGAATTGTTCTATTTATGGATAGAAAATAGTAATATACTTTTATATAAAAAAGATATAGAAATATATGTAGAAACTATATGTATATGAAAATCACACATATATTAAAATGATATGGATATATGTATATACATGAAATGCATACCTATATATGTATATACATATACACACACGTATATATACATGTGTACATGTATGTATATGTGTATGTATACATATATGAAAAGCAACAGTTGCCATCAGGTGAAACTACGAAGGTTCATATGTTTTTTTTTTACTTGTCAATATTTTCTTTTAGAAATAATGTTTTGAGTTTATATTTAAAAAGCAATTACAGTTGTTCCAACTAATTTCTAAATATCCTAAACATTTTTCAACATCCTTAGTCACCACCCAGGAACATGTCCATTTACACTGTGCTGGGCACTATATAGATGATGGCAGGCATGCGGGAAGGTGAATTAGATTAAAGGTGAGGAACTCACCATTTTTTGGTAGGGACCTAAGATATCTATCCTGTGCCAGGCCTTTTCTTGTGGCCCGCCAACCAGTTCCCAAATCACGACACAGAGACTTCTTATTCGTTTCCAGTGCTGGTCTAGCTTAGGCCACATTTCTGGCAAGCTCTTATAACTTAACCTGTTGTTTCTCTTCACCTCTGCTTTGCCTCGGGACTCACTGCCTTTCTTACTTCTGTACATCTTATTTCATTGCTTTTCTATGTCTGCCTGGCTTCTTGCGCTGAGTGTGCCCCTTGTTCTCTCCTCTCATTGTTCTCTCTTGAGTCCAGAGTTCTCCTTCTATTTATTTACTCTGCATGCCACCCCTGCCTATCCTTCCTCTGCCTAGCTATTGGCCATTCAGCTTTTTATTAGACCAATCAGGTGCCTTAGGCAGGCAAGGTGAAACTAACACAACACACCTTTACATAATTAAACACACATCCTTACGTCATTAAACAAATGCAGCATAACACACCATTGCACAGTTAAAGTAATATTCTACAGCAAAAACAAATGTAGCACATCTTTGCCTGGTTAAAATAATATTCTACAGCACTATCCTAAAGGGAACTGGAACTTATCTCCTATGGAAACTGGATAATTGTACATGAAGCTGATTTGATCTAATTTGCATATTGATCAAATTAGTTTCAGTCGAATTGTTTTTCTCTCAATTGATTTCAATTAAACTATACATCACTTTGTATATTCTCAAGTGATTCACTTGGCCTCTAGGGACCTAAAGCGAGGAATGCCTCCATGCCCTGGAGGGCATCGACCAAAGGTCTTGTGTCTGTGTTCACTGCCCTCAGTGGTCACAGTTATGCCCTAAGGACTTGCATGTTGGAAATCCAGGGGGAGCTTGGAGTGACTTGGTGAACACATACCTCTAAAAGGAAATCTGGAATCTCTTGGGTATAGCATTCATTAATGTACTCATCTCATGGCTGCTTTCTTGTGTGACCTGCGTTCCCGATGCATGGAAACAGACTGACTGCTAAAGCCCTGCCACCAAGCAGCTTAGAGTCTGATGATGTCACCAGGTGTGCAAAAAGTAACCACTCCACAGCATGGCCCACCCGGGGCAGACCAACCACAGAGCTGCTACACATCTCTGAAGCCTTGTTGACCACCTTTGTCTGAAATGAACTGAACGCCTCAACAGGAGTGGGAAACAACATGAGAGCGTTGTTTTCATGTTGAAGAAAACAAGAAGGGAAAATGGAAGAAGCTGGGGAGGAAGGAAAGGAATAAAGAACGAGAACAGCAAGGCGAAGGAAGAGAAGATGGAAATGAGGATGAAGAAGCGAAGAAATGGAGTATGGGTTAGAAGTCAAGTAAGTCAAAACAAGGCTTTGGGTGACTGCAAATCCAAAGAGGGAGCTGTTTTCCCAGGACCCTGTTGCTGTCATTATTTTGTGACAGCCTCTGAGATGCTCGAGGCTCACCGTTAGGCTTAACTGCCTTTTGCCAATGCCCTCTTGAACCCAGATTCCAAGTTCAGAGCATCCCGGCACTCACAGAACCTCCTCTCGGCTACTCCAGCACCTTTGCTCACACCTAACCTGACCAGGAGATTTCCAGTCAGGCTGCTGCTGCAGTATCCCAGGCCATACAGTATTCAATCACCATGCCCTTGTGCTGGTCTAAGCTGAAGGAGGAGCTAGGAAGGGAATCACCAGCTTTGAGTTTGATCAAGGAAGGAGGCTGCGCTGCAAGACCAGGGTGTCATCCATAGAGCTCAATAGTTTCTTCCCAGCTTGTGCCTGGCTTCCAGGCATTCTGCCAGCTTGTGAATTTGTGAGTTCGAGGTTCATTCGCACCTTGATTTCTTCTGACTCAGAGCGGATGCTGATGTTACGAGGCGGCTCATCTCCATTGGTACCTGAGAAAAGGCACTGGACTGCTGTGAGCATCAGGCTCCTTGGTGTGCTCCCGTAATGATTCCTCTTCCTGGGGGGGGGGTCTCTGTAAAGGATGCAAGGGAAATGTCTCCTGGTCCATCTTGCTCCCTAGCTCAGGGAATACCTGAGAGCATCGGCACTCCGAGAACATACAACCAGAAAGCAAGCCAATTGAGCCACCATCCCTCCCATTGGACTCCAAATCCTTTGCAAATTGTCCTGGGCTGGTACCTGAGCTCCAAGCCTGGTAAGAGCCTCACACCAGTCTGTCTTCCAGTTTTACTTGCTCAGCTACCAAATGTTCGACAGAGAATGGCCAATTCAGTAGGGCTTCTAGAAAAATAGAGAAAGGGGATCAAAGCTGGTACTTCTTATATCACATTAGTCCTCAGACAAGGGGGACAGAGTCTTGGGGACCTGAATCCATTCTGCATGGTCTGGCTCCTGCCTGGACCTGTAACATATTTTTTTATTGGTGTTACACAAATAATGGCAGACTTTTGGGGAGTCCAGGGAGCCCTGTGCTGTTTCTGTCCTAATTCCTGGCCCACCATGGGCTACCAGGATCATTTTTTCTCCAGCCAGACTGTTCTTCTCATCTAAAGCTAACTCTGGGATCTTAACAGAGCCTTGGTCCTGTGGCGCATGCTCTCCCTCTCTCCTTGGCTTCCTGTTTTGATCCCCAGTTGGTCGCTTTCTGCCAAACTTCTGGACTCAAGTGTCACAGAGGAGCTCCTCCTCAGCTGCTCCTAACTTGTTCTCTCTGTACACAAGGCCAGTCTTCCATGGCACAGCCAGCTTCTTCCCTCCCCCTCCCCGCCCCTCCCCCGCCATCAGAAGAAACCTACAATAGTTCTTCTGGTCTTCTGGGGCCAGGCCAACGCTAGGGAAAGGGTCTCTGAGATCAAAGGCCACGCTTCCCTTCAAAGACCTGTTCCCACAAGCTCCTGTACCTCAGGTGTATTTTCCTGGAAAAGGTTGCGTGTTTCTCTGAGAGTTAATTGGCTTAGCCGCTTTAATAAGCTCTCCGGAGACATGGATTCAACAGTTGCACACCTGTCTCACATCACATAAAAAGCAGCTCACAGGAGTTATTGTTACAAGATGTGTCAAAGTTGGCACGCGGGAACTCCACTTGGAAGGCGAGACCTGTGCTCTAGGAGGCCAGGAGAAATGTGATGTTTACGGGCTCGGGTTGGTGGTCCTCCGAGAGCGTTGCTAGGAAGCGAGGCACGACGGGAAAACACCGGAAGTAGGAGATCAGATGGTTAGCCTGTAAAGAGGTGTTGGAACACTCACTTCTGTCTGAGGGTTTGGTTTCACAGCTATGAAAGAACAGGGTCTGCTGGAAGCCTGTTAGGTATTGCTTTGAAATGGTTCCTCCGACAAGGACGCTGTATCTACGTGATGCTTCGCCCACAATGGATTTGCGTATTTGTTTTGATAGCTTATTTAGGGCAATGAGGTCTTGCTGTTAAAAAAAAAAAAAAGGTATATTAAAATAATCGGATAGAGGGAAGATGAGAAAAACTGCCTTAAAATATTAACACAAGAGTTCACAAACATAGTGGTGGCCTTTGGTAATTGTTCCTTCTAACTCGTTTCTTATCAGGACAATTAGTAGGTCCACTAATTCAGAAACAGCACAAGGAACCACTACTAAGCAAGAAGCCAGGCTCTAATAAGAACAAGAGTAGGTCTAGATGAGTGTACCTTAATTAAGGGCAATTCCCTTCCAAGCTCAGCAGTAATAACGAGGAAAGAAGGTGGAATAAAGGAGAAACCATGCCTTCACGATTGACCGTGACTTGGCCATGACCTTCCCTGCAGATCCCTGAGGCAACAGTCTAAAGCGTCACACTTCCCTCAGACACACTTGAGTGACCTCAGTGGACCCCATTTGTTGTTCTCTCTGAGAAACCACGAAGCAGGCTCGGAGTCAGCAGCCCGGAAGTTGAGAAATGCTCGCCCACACTCACAGATCAGAATGAGCCTGTGGCCGATCCAGGAGGGCACAGACTCCTGATTAGAGAGCTATCCACACAACACCCCCTTCCAGTCTGCTGATTCCTATCAGACAAAGACCAAAGAAAGCAAAACAAAGCACCCACACAAATCCACCTAGGAGTAATTAACTCTGCTCTCACCGAAGCTACCGATTGCATTTCCACCATGTTCCATTACACTGCCATTGTCTTTCTCACCGGCTTTCATTGGTGGATTTTAGCATTCCCAATCAGGTGCAATGCTTTTGCCTTTGAGAGTTCACACAGGAAAGACCCCATGGTGGACTGACAGAGAAGAAGAAGAATTTACTTGCCCCAGACTTACCTCATTGGCTACTTATCCAGTCCATTCTGTGAGGCATGTGGAGGGATATAACTTTCATCCAAATTGATGGCACCTTTAGGAATTGCATTCAGAACATCTCTCAATTGGGATAGGACTTCTTGCTCTATTGTCTGGATTGCTGACCCTGAACAGACGGGAATGATATGCTCCATTGGCCCTGTGGTGGCGATGGTTCGTTCTTTCTCTCTCTTTCTCTCTCTCTCTCTCTCTCTCTCTCTCTCTCTCTTCGCTTACAGAACTTGGGTTGTGAATGACCTCAAGGTGAACTGTCAGTCATAAGCCATAAGCCATTTCTCATCAGCAGCTCCCAACTCCACTTCGTGTCCTGTTGTTTTTCTGGACACTGCACTTTGGTACTGTGACTTTCTTTCCTAGTTCAGAGGTCTTCAAACTGGGTTCCAAGGCATCTCCAAGACCAAGATTAATTTTGATGATAATATTTTATAGACTCCCCCAAGTTTAATATTTGGTATTAAAATTACTCTGACTGGTATATGCCTTTTTCTTACTTTACATAAGAAAGACTACTCCTCACCCAGAATCTTGCTAAGGTACATTGTGTTATCCTGACTATACATAGAAACTTCCAGCACCAAACACGGCTCATATGTTTGTGTATTTGGAAAGTAAATGAAAAAAACAAGTTGTTGCTACTCTTGTTTTTAAAGTTATTTAAGAAAAACTTAATTGAATTGTCAACTGAAATATTGCTTTAAAATTTGTGCTGAATCACATTTTGAAGTTCAAAGAATTAAATTACATTGGTTCAAATGATTCCTATTCCCATCCATGTATTTATATGAACAACTTTCTTAGAACTCACACTACACAAAGAGAAGCAGAACTGATTCTGAATTCTCTCATTCTAGATATTAGTCATTTTCGTCCATGGACGTGTAAGTTAGCCTTTAAAGCTTCTTTGTTCCTTAAACAAAGAAATGCCTTTATAATAAAACGTTATGTTCTTAACATTTAAAAATTGTTAGAGTTTGGATCTACTTGATACAAAGACATGCTAAGAAGTTTGGGAACATTTTTTTTTTTTATCTCTAGGCCTAACTAGAATTACCAGGCAGTTAATGTTTCCGTGCTTGTATAATAGATTGGACACACACCAGACCTGGAACAGGAGTGTCTGTGTTAGGGTTTCTATTGCTGTGAAGAGACATCATGATCATGGCAACTCTTATAAAGGAAAACAATTAATTAGGGCTAACTTGCAGTTTCAGAGGTTTAGTTCATTATCAACATGGTGGTATACAGGCACACATGGAGTTGAAGGAACTGAGGATTCTGTATCTTGATCCACTGGCAGCAGGAAGTGAACTCTGTTCTACACTGGGCATAGCTTGAGCATAGGAGACCTCAAAATCCAACCCCACAGTGGCATACTTTCTCCAATGTGACCACACCCACTCCAACAAAGTCACACCCACTATGTGGCCCATTTTCTTCCAAATGACCACATTCCACTCCCTGGTTCCCACCGGCTTATATTAATTTTATAATGCAGAAATGCATTTCAGTCCAACTTCAAAAGTCTATAATAGTCTCATACTCATTTAAAAACCTAAAGTTCAAAGTCTTTTCTGAGACTCATGCAACCTCTTAACTATAATTCCATGTAAAATCAAAATAAAAAAGAATCACATACTTCAAACATATAATGGCACAGGATATATATTACCATTCCAAAATGTAGGAAAGAGAAGATAGTGAGGAAATGCCAGCCAAAGTAAAACCAAAAACCAGCTGAGCAAACTCCAAACTCTGCATCTCCATGTCTGATCTCAAAGTGTTCTTCAAATCTCCAACTCCTTTTTTCTTTGTTGCCTGCAATACACTCTTTCTCTTGGGCCAATTCAACTCCTTGTTAGCAGCTCTTCTCAGTAGGTATCTTGTGACTCTGTCATCTCTAACATTTGGGGTCTCCAAGGTAATCCAGGCTTCAACTTCACACAATGACATCCCTGAGCCTCCATTCAGGGACACCCCTGATACACATCTGGCCTCAGTGGCTTTCCTTAGTCACAGGGGAAGATTCCATAACCCCTTTCTTCTCCCCTTGACTCTAAAGCCAGAACCATGTGGCCAAAGCTGCCAAGTTCTGCTTCTTGCTGAAGCTAGAACATGGTCTCCTTGTTCAATTACATCTTCACCAACTTTCTGTTTTCAATGGTTTCATCCACAGCCTAAGTTTAACTGTGCTGAAATTGAATCTGTAGACCAGGCTGACCTCAAATTCAAAGATCTGCCAGCCTTTGCCTCTGGAGTGCTGGGATTAAACGTATGCACCACCACACCTAGCTCTAAGCTTTTCTTTAATTTCTTTTTACAAGTTGGAAACACAGCTGAGTCAGATCTTGCCCTGAGGTCACCACTCTGTTTTATCCATTTCTTAATCTGTTTATATTCTTGAACACAGGACTTAGCTCCAATACACTTCCTAGTATTCCTTTTCTCCTCAAATTGTACATTTTATATTTTTCTTTCTCAGCTTACTTCTTTTCATTATGAATCTTCATTAGACTTAACACTAATAACCACAAAATAGAGTCAATACTAGGCTGTTTTGAGATTCCTCTGCCAGTGGAATTAATCCAAACCTCTTCACTTTAGTACCAGGCAGAGTCTTCAGACAAGGGCAAAAAGTAACTATGTTCTTCACCAAAATATCACCAAGCCCGGTCTCTAGGCCACATACTAACATTCTTCTCCTCTGATATCTCTTGAGCCAAACCCACACAGTTCAAATCACCTTCAGCACTGTTGTCTTCCAACTTCTACTAGGATGGCCCATTAAACTCCACTTAAACCATTCAGTTGCTTTGCTGATCCATAGTCCAAAAGTCCATATTCCTCCAAACAAAAATGTGGCCCAAGATATCACAGCAATACTCTAGTCCCTGGTACCAACTTGTGTTACTTAGGGTTTCTATTGTTGTGAAGAGACACCATGACTATGGTAGCTCTTATAAAGGAAAACATTTAATTGTGGCTAACTTACAGTTTTAGAGGCTTAGTCCATTACTATTATGGCAGGACATGGTGGCATGCAGGCAGACATGGTGCTGGAGAAGGAGCTGAAAGTTCTACATCTTGATCCATAGGCAACAGGAAGTGAACTGTGTTTCACACAGGGTATAGCTTGAGCATAGGAGACCTCCAAGCCCATCTTCATAGTTACATACTTCTTCCAGCAAGATCACACTTACCCCAGCTTCTAATAGTGCTACTTCCTCTGGGTGCCATTTTCTTTCAAACCCCCCACAATGTATTTGGCAATAATGCCCATCTCTATTACAGTCAAGTGTTGATCTCAAAAGCAGCAACTGAGAGGCAATGGAACTTCACTTTTGGAAAGATCACAGGATAGAAAAATATAGAGTTTGGAGTTCAGCATCTGTGGTAGTTTGAATGTAATTGGCCACCATAACCACATACAGAGTGGCACTATTAGGAGTTGTGACTTTGTTGGAGTAGGTGTGGCCCAAGCTGATATAAACACAAATTAACAGTATTATTATAATCTTTTAATTAAAAGCCTGTGTAGGGTTAAGATACTTGGAAACAGAAGGTAGAGGTTTTAATTTTTAAAATTAGCCTATCTTTACATCGTTTGGTAAGTTAAAGAAATGAAAGCTTATAGCAAATGTTAATAGGCAAATATTTTATTTTCCATCTTCCTCTGGACTCTTTGCAAGGAAGATATACATAGCGAGCTAATAGAAGAAGGAGAATGACATCGCGATAATAGGTGCTGATTCAACAGAAACCAAGGAAAGAGAGGCAACCATTGTGTGATGTGTATAGGACAGGCAAATGCCAAATGCTTAATACAAAG